AGAGCGCCAACACCGGTAGAAATTGGTAGAATTGAAAATGAATACAATAATTTAGTATCTTTTTTAATAAAAAGTAAACAGAATCTTTTCAACCCTAGCATAAACCAACGGAGGGCGTTGTGTGAGTTTATTTTACATCAACTCTATCGTCACGCTGACCCCGTTCAGAGTTGTGATTGGTGAAGATTTCAGGCTAATCGCAACACCGACGGGGTCACCGTAACGATAGAGTTGATATAAAATAAACTCACACCAGTCCCTCAGCAGCACTTTTAAACTTACACTTATTACTTACTAGCTGACCCTGCAAACGTTGTTTTGCTATTTACATTATTTAAATTATTATTATTATTATTTTAAATTTCTTAAAATCCGTTCTTAGCTGACCTTTACTCGGTGAAAAGAATATTCCTACCAAATTTCAAGTCTTTATCTCTAATGGTTCCAGAGAAATCTGTGGACGTGGAAATCTCTTATATATATATATATAGATTAATCTAGCATTCATAGTACAAGCTCTGCTTAGTATAAAACTAGATGGCGTTGTTTGTCAGATGTCTGTATATATTATTATTTGAAGCCCACAGGCAAAATCATTGTTTAATTGTTTTAAATATTTTAGGCTATAATGCCTTTTGCCCGGTTTTCAATGTGAAACATTTAATGCTCCGTATTAGGACAGACCGACTGTTAGCGTGCGTCACCGCTCTATGTGATGATACGAGTACACGCAACAAGTAAAGTGTAAAATAATGTGATAAAAAATACTGCTTAATCTTTACGCCGTATAAAATATAGTTTTTTTTTGCTTTACGCTTAGATCTTTTAAACTAAGCAACGGATTTTAATGCGGTTTTCACCAATAGAGAGAGTGATTTAAGAAGAAGGTTTATATTTATAATACAGCATATTATAGTAGAGAAAAGCCGAGAATTTCAAAGAATTGTCTTAAAGACATGGTTTTGTGCGCTTAGATTGCAAACGCTGGCTTGTCCTTAGGAGATATACCAAAATAATGTACTACGTAATGGTATATCTTAAAAATATCTACAAACAAGTCCGCGCTGGTATATGTCTATCTCCAAAGAATAATCCACAGCAACCATTTTTATCTTATAAATATTACAAAAAAATAATGGGTTAGATTCGAAACTATTTTGAACGATACATTATTATTCCTTATCCAATGCAACACATTAGATACCTACGTTGTGTATTTAATGTAGATCAAAAAAAAATTTTTTTTTTTCGCTTGCCGCTTCAAATATGGTTTTTATATATTTTTCGTGTCAATTTTGTTACTGGTTACTCATCAACGCAAATACAATGTGCCACAGCGAAATTTCGCAGAGTACAGCTAGTTATAAACATTAATATATAATCTGTCTTCGCGTATATTTCAACCTCTATCTATACAAATAAATTTTTATTTATTTGTTTTATTTATTTTTTTAAAAAGACAACTCCCGCATTTGGAATAGATCCTGTGTCGCGGGGGACTTTACAAACATACATGAAACGGACACAAAGAACACCCAGACTCAGAACAACAATTTGTGGATCACACAAAGTGTCGTCCCATGTGGGGTTTTTCAACGCACCTTGCGTTGTTGAACCCACAACACTCGGCGTAGTAGGAAGCGGCGTGGCGACCGCTTAAACCACTACGCCATCCGTGCAGTCAAATAAAATGGAAGTGTCTGTTTGTAATGTAAAAATAATAGGTTTATTTCATGCTCACGCGGTTACTTGCAGGATACCTATGCATAAAAACCAGTTTAAATATTTTTTGTCTGCCTGTCTGTTTGTTTCGGGTAATCTTCTAAGCGGCTAGACTGATTTTGATAATATTTTCTACCAGGTAGCTGTTTATAGAAGTAGTAACTTAGGCTATTTTTCCGCCAAGAAAAATCCTATAAAATTTTTCATGGACTGCAGGCGCGATCTGTACTACACCACTAAGGCAGTGCTTTTCTAATTCCACCCGAACGATGTCGCTGTTAGCAGCTAGTGTTATATAAGATCTGTAATATTGTGTACCAATTTTAAATGAATAAATATATTATTATCATCTCTGTATTAAATTATTGCTCACACGGTTTTGCTATTTTCCTTTTAAGCTATTGCATAGCTTCTATCGCGGGCCTTGAGCGTGGAGACCGATTCCAGAAATGCCGTAACAAAAATAACCTAACACACCCCACGTGATACTTTTTAATTTTGCCATCGATCGATGAATAGCAGAACTTTTAATGACTTTTTTGAAATATCACGCTTGTCTCTTTAGTTCAGCAACTCGCCTCTAGGTGGCATTGGTTGTATCGGCGTTACGGCGCATGCGTAATCCCCCTCTTCGCCCCGCAATCTAATTAATATCAAATAAAAAAAAACAAAGGAAAAAAAATACTGCATAAATAAAATAAATAAATAATTATAATTGCATAAGTTGATAAAAAATGCAATGCAATAGCTTTACCGCGGCAGTCCCCGAGTGCCACACGTCTTTTTTTTTATTTATAGATTGTAAGGTCACATCATATCTGGCTCCTAGGGGACGCAGGAACCAGAAGTATGTGATGTTTTCATAGTAAAATCCACCCTGATGGCCGGCCTCAAGCGCCGCCCTACTCTGAAAGCTTCTTATAGCTAGTTCAGTTAATTTGGTATTGCATAACTTACAGATCATCATCATCAACAGCTTTTAATAGTCCACGGCTGGACATAAAACTCTCCTTAGAAAGAAGATTTTGACCCACTATACCATCCGTGTGGTGACGGAATACAGAGTGTCACCATCCTTATTCATCCCGTGGTCGTAAGAGCCGACTAAGCGAGCAAACTACACAGCACAACAGCACTGCAAAGAGAAAGAAAACTTGAAACAACCCATATACCATTCGAAGATAGCTGTATTTTTTTAATTTTTGGGGGTGAAGGGATGAAGAAGGAGACTAATAACCTGATGGTAAGAGAGACAAATGTTTATGCCCTTTAAGCCCTCAGAATTGTGAAGAGAGTTTGACGTCAGGTAATCTCTCTTACTTGGATAAAGGAGCATAAAAATTGATAAGGTATCTACTACTCGATGAAGTATTCGAGTGGGTACTTCTCATATATGGGTATGGTATTATATATGTACATACATATGGGTCGGCTCGACGGGAGTGCTACCACGGCCTCACAGACAAAAGGCACTAGATACTGCTGCTGGTGTAGTACCAGTACGTTTTACTAGGTTTACTAGTATCTCCGTTAACCCCTCAAACTAAGCTAAATTGGTAAGTGGGTTCACGTCGGTAGTGTGCTGGTCAGGGATTCGAAACCACGACCTCTTGATCGCAAGTCCAATGCCTTAACCACTAGGCTAACGCCGCTAAAGGTGCTAAGTAATTTTTTCGTTGTGTTTCATCGAGTGACTTAAGTTAACGGGGGCCTAAACAATTATATAGTTTCTAAGGGATAGGAACTATAACTAATTATTTTTTTACATAACTATTGATCGCGGCTTTGTTCGAAATTAGTTCATGTGTCTACTTTAAAAATTACAACTTCCAAACAACCGTTCATCCCTTCATCATCATCATCAGCCTATCACAGTCCACTGCTGGACATAGGCCTCTCCCATTGCACGCCACTTAGATCGATTTTGGGCTTCTCGCATCCAGCTCCTGCCAGCCATCTTGCGCAAATCGTCACTCCACCTGGCCTGTGGGCGTCCTACACTACGTTTGCCGAGACGCGGTCTCCACTCAAGAACTCGTTTTCCCCAACGGTTATCGGTTCTGCGGCTAATATGGCCAGCCCACTGCCACTTCAGCTTGCTGATCCGGTACGCTATGTCGGTGACTTTAGTTCTCTGCCGGATCACCTCATTTCTGATGCGATCCCTTAGAGAAACGCCGAGCATAGCCCTTTCCATAGCACGTTATTTACGTTCATCCCTTATTTCACCCCTTTAGGAGTAAAATTTTCCAAAATCCATCCTTAGTGGGTGATTACAACATAAAAAACAACAGCAGACTGCACGGATGGCGTAGTGGTTTAAGCGGTCGCCACGCCGCTTCCTACTACGCTGAGTGTTGTGGGTTCGATCCCCACATGGGACGACACTTTGTGTGATTCACAAATTGTTGTTCTGAGTCTGGGTGTTCTTGTGTGACACAGGATATATTCCTAATGCGGAGTTGTCTTTTTAAAAGAAAAAAAAAACTCTGTTTTGTCAATTATTGAGCAAAATAAATATATACGTATCGAAAATCTCTTTTATGCCTGTGCCGATCTACAAACGCCCATTTCTAAGGGGTTGAGCCTCATGAGACGAAAGGGCAAACAAACTCACAGCCACTCTTTTTAAAAGCAACAGATAAGATCATTAAATATAACACAACATTGTTTCGGTGTGTGCTAGTATATCAATTATTAAGGATTAAAAGGGAAAAATACAATGAAGAGAAAACAAGATTAAGAAAGAAATCGAATAAAAAGAAAGTGAAAGATAAAAAATAAATAAATAAGAAACACACTACCCCACATCACATTTCAACTACAAAATAGCCTGTACTAAATTAATCCCAAGCATACTTGTCTTCTATGTAATCCACAATCGAGTAATAGGCTTTCGGGCATAGTTTACGTTTTATTGTGGATTACTTAAGTCTTGTTGTACTTAAGGACACATTGACCTCGAAATAACTTGTTTATCTTTTTCTTTTATTTAAAACATGTACATCCCTTCTTATTAAGTAGCTATCTTTGTTTTAGTGATATATTGGCATGCCACTGGCATTATGTTTATTTCTTTAAATTTCTGACCCAAAGAACGATTGACTAAATTAGAAATTAATCGAATAGCTCAAATGTGCAGCACAAAAATAGTTTGAATATCGGCAGCATTTTCCCACAGCAGAATACCGTACCAAATTATCATTATTACTGATTATAATTAAATACAAAAGAAACGACAACAATAACAGCCAATTATAAATACTTTATTAAAAAAATTAATCATTATTGTTTAGTTTTGGCTGTCTCAACCGGCGAGGCCTCGTCTGTGTTTCTGTCAATTTCCCAGGACTAGTAGCCCTACGGAGAACTCTGTCCTTCTCCACTTTCCTTGCTGACCTCGTAGGGATCTCTAACATTTCTGTTTTAACTTCTTTCCCTAAGGGCGTTGAAAACTCTTCTTCCAAATTCTTAACAATCCCTCTCCGTAAATTGGTTTTAGAATATGTTTTAATTGTATTTAGAGGTGTAAAAAATTGTTCAGGCGTCGACATTGGAGTGAAAAACTCCGGTAATTTGTCTTCAGGTCCGGTTTTTGGTGTTTTAGATGTGTCTGTAACCGTAATCGCCGGTTTTCGAGTCACCCGAGGTGTAATATTTTCTAATACGGTTTTACTGGTAACAGGTACCGGAATTTTAAATACCGGTTTTCTGGTTTTTGGTTTTTCTTGATCTCTTTCATCTGAACTGCCTTCATCAAGGTTCAACTTAATAACTTTTCGTTTTTTGGGTATTTCTTCATGTCCCACCATTACTTTTTTAGATGACTGTACTGGTAGTATTGGTTTGGATATAGGGGTTTTAGGTACATCGCCTTTCGGACTTAACCTAAGGTTTTCGAACTCTGTTTCTAAGTCGGTTTCTTGCTTTTTAACAACATTCCTCACTCTCGCTGATGCAATCATCAAATTCATTATTTCATTGCTCATATAAGCATCCGGGTTGCTAATATCTTGCGTAATTTCATGTACAGTAACCAAATAATCGTCTGCTTTATCAAAATTCTCATTTTTCAGTTCAAAATACGTCGATTCTATTAAAATTTCTAATTTAACCTTCTTAAATTCATCTTCGAAAAGCTTTCTAACATGATTAATTACATATTCTTTGAAATCCATTTCTATGTACTTGTTCATAACATATTCCATTTTACTGTCAAAATATTTAAACGAATGAATTATTCCTTGATAATAGTTTTTGGCAATTTCTACCTCATTTGCCCTAAAATACATTGAAGCTTCTAACCCCCCAATTACATAAGAAATTATAGTACAGAAAATGTTATCGCAAGCATAACAATCACAGTTAGTGTGTCCTAAAAATTCCGGTATTTTAAAGCCCGGTATTTGCACATATTTTCGTGTAGGACTTAGTGACTTGATATGTTGGCTTTCTAGCATGACTTCTAAATCCTGTTTCGGTGCAAAGAGCTCAACTTTAGATTCGGTTACGGAAGTTGGTGGTTCGTTGGAGAGACCCAGGATGTATTTGAGCCTGTTATCGATGGTGACCTGAAAGTTAGATGAAATAATTTTAAATAATAATATTCTTCCACATTCACACAACGCCATCTAGTCCTAAGCAAAGCTTGTACCATGGGTACTAGACAACTGATATAAATACATTTATACTTTTTTTTTGTAAATACATACTTTTTATACATAGAACCAGCCAGACCAAATCAAACATTAGATGTTCATGCACACAAATGTTTGACTTTAACGGGAATCGAACCCGCGGCCTTTGGAATAGCAGTCCGTTACACAAACCACTACGCCATTCGGTCGTCACAAATACAGTTTAATTGACACCTCACCTCACCTTCACCGTTGTCCAGTCCACTGCTGGACATAGTCCTCTCCTTGGAAACGAGGTTTAAGTGACACGATACATTTATTAATGCGAAAAGTAGATTTAGAGGTATTAGATCCGGCTCGGTTTTTATCATAGACATAAGCATAGTGAACACGGCGTTGTTTAGCTGCCTGTAAGTGGAAGCGATACAGGCAACGGGAGAGATGGATGCCCAATAGTTTCCTAGTTAAGCTAAGATTGATTATCGTGAAGTGGGCATTAACTCCTCATATTCTCCAGCCAATCACAGAGCTCAACTAGAAAGAGATAGTGGGAACTATCTGTTTTCCATCTCACTCGTTTGCCTGTAATGCAAGATTGGGGCTTTTGTTCATTCTATGCTTTTATAGTATAGGGGATGAATAGGTCATTCGATGGTAAGCGACTATCATCGCTCACGGACATTTAAAGTCAAGAAACATAAGTGCGTTGACGTTCGTCGTTCTCTCCGAGTCTGATTTAGAAAAAAAATGGTATAGACATAATCCGTGTTTTGGGCAAGGACATAACGTAGTTTTTATTCTAGAAATTATTTTTTAAGGGGTGAAAAAAAAAGATAGAAGTTTGTATGGGGAATCGATAATCGCTAAACCGATTTAGATGAAATTCGGTATGGAGGTACTTCGATTCTTGATGAAAAACATAGCTAACTTTTTACCTCGGTAACCAACAGTTACCTGATGGAGTCGCAGGCAAAACTAGTATGTAATAAAAATAATAAGTAAAAGTGGTGCGGCGGTACCTGCGCTTGGGGCAGGGCGTGAGTGTCTATGGTGGCGCGCGCGCACGTGGCCAGTGCGGCGGCGCCGAGCGCGTGGGGCGCGGCGGCGGCGGCGGCGCGCGCGCGGCGCACCTGCCCCAGCGCGCCGCACGCGCGCGCGCACCGCTGCGTCAGCGCGCAGCTGCTGCAGCGCGAGCGCGCCGTCACCAGCCGTCGCCTGCTCCACGCCAGCGCTGGGGACGACTCGAGGGTTTAAGGGGCTTCAATACGCATGCGTCTAGAGCCTCGATTCTATTGACCGCTGTCATTCCATTGACACGCTATTGAGACGCCATCGACATCGGTCACGATATCGGTATTCCACTGACATAAATTCACACAGTGTCGATAGACAGTCGATATAGTAATATAAGTCAGCGACGGTGATATCGACGACGTTGGTAAATTAAATATATCATTTTCTTACAAATTTAAAATGTCGATGACGTTTGTATCTGTGACGGGTCATCGGCAATCGGTCTTACATAGTTAGTAGAATAAGAAAAGTGCATAACTATTCCGACGACATTCCATCGACGGTCTATTGATACAATATTAAAATAGCAGAATTGAGACCCAGAGTGCGCGCGGCAAACGACCGAGACGGATTTGAGAAAAACAAGCCGACACTCGATCACTCGTCTCAACCGAAACACGTCCACACAGAGCGAGCAACTTCGTGCAAGAAATGCCTGATAATAGAGAAGCCCTAGAAGGGATTTCGGGATTTACTCGAACGCGTCAACTTAACATAGGAGGAATACCTTACATCCAGTTGAGTACCTCCTCTATACATGAACCCTACACATAGGGGGAGCGTCTAAGGCAGCTCATCAGATTAATTAAAGAAGTCAATGGCCAGAAATACTCGAGCATATAAGATTAGGTCTTCCTTTCTAGGGTATACCTGGTTCCCCGGCTATCAATACCCGAGACGGCGTGCGGTTTTAGTCGGTTCGAGTCCGACATGTCACCGAGAGGTGGTATCCGAGGGGATTTCCGCACGGAAAAAAAAAGGGTGACATAAAGCAGTCGCGGTCAAAAAGTTCCATAAATAACGCATGACCTTGTCATTTTTTTTTTGAAGTAAACAATGCAAAAAATCTTCTTTAAATGTCTACATAATTTTTCGTGCCTCTATTTGTCACATTTTATAAAAATCCAAACATTCAAAATAATTCTAATCGTCAGATTTAAAATACCCTGCAAAATTATTGTCAGATTTTCGGCTAGTATGAGAGGAACATCAAGCTGAACCATCTGTATAAAATATAACAAGCTTGGCTATTTCAAAATAGCGCCTTTTCGAATTTGCAGTTTGCATCTATACTAATATTATAAAGCTGAAGAGTTTGTTTGTTTGAACGCGCTAATCTCAGGCACTACTGGTCCGATTTGAAAAATTATTTCAGTGTTAGATAGCCCATTTATCGAGGAAGGCTATAGGCTATATATCATCACGCTAAGACCAATAGGAGCGGAGCACCAATGAAGAATGTTTCAAAAACGGAGAAAATTTATTACTATTGAGAGACGCAGACGAAGTTGCGCGGGTCAGCTAGTCTTCGATAATTCGCTACCAGCTTGTGTCACTTCAAAATTAGACGTAGACTTTCAATGGGAGCATTTTTGGCGTCCAAATAACATATCCCCAAAATAACTGATGTGCCCGAATATATTTTTATCGATTTCATCCCCTTGCATTTTTGAAAACCTGTAGAACCTTTTCCACCGCTGAAAGTGGAAACATTATATAACTTTTATTCTTTCTATTACCTAATCTTTCAAATGCAATTGGTCCCCATGACGTTCGAGTAAATACCCATATAGCATCATGGGCTCCCCTACTATCACGAGTCTCCTAGCTCTGCGTCCACCTATTCATCAACAACCTTTAATAGTCCACTGCCGGATATAGGCCTCTCCTCAGAAAGGAGGTTTTGGCCTACTGTACCACGCTGACCAGACGGGTTGGTATAGGGTTTGTGTCAAGTTTTCCTTCTCTTTGCAGTTTTGTTGTCCTGCATAGATTGCTCCCTTAGTCGGCTTTTACGACACCCACGGGATGAATAGGGGTGGTGACACTCCGTATTCTTAATCCGTCAACACACGGACGGATTTATATGATAGATTGATAACTACATAAACATCATTTATTTGTGACTATTTGTGATTCTGGTATACCTAACGACTGTGATATACCCAAATACTTGTAAGTTTCGGTGGCAGACAGAGATTTGAGTTTTGTTGAATCTGAAAGCTCTGTTCCTTCTTTACATACATGACTGCACACTTGTCTACACCAAATTCCGTTTTGATAGAATTACTAAAGTTTTCCGTCGCCTTTAGTAACAGTGATAATTAGAGACCGGATTATATGCATTTGCATATGATTTTGCATATTTAAGCCATTCTCAACGGTAATAGCATATTTTACCTAAGATCAAGTTATGATGCATATTATCGGTACATTTACAATATTTTTCGGAGTGCAGTGCATTTACCGTGTTCTGAAATGCGATAAAAGCGATAATATCGCGAATTCGACCCGGAACGCAGTCAGTAGCTGCGCGCGTCGTTGGTATTGTCAGTTACGTTAAAAAAAATATGTCATGTAATGTTACTGTACTTATTATCGCTAATCAAAAAACAATTTAATCATTGTATGCTGATTTTGAAATAAAAACATGAAAACTTACTTTTCTCCTTTTTTGGGGTTCCTAAAACTTATCATTTAATTTCGCATATTTTGCCAGTTTTCGTGCATATTTCAAGCATTCTCCATGCATATTTGCATGCATATAACGCTTTTTATGTTGCATTTAATCCGGTCTCTACTGATAACACTGTTATACATATAAATTAAACATTGTTTATAAATAATTGGATATACACATGTAATACGAGGGGTGATCAATAAGTAATGATAATCAATATGAAACAGAACTATTAGATTAAAAAAAGTATTTTATTTTTCAACATAGTCTCCTTGCAAGTTAATACATTTAGTGTATCTTTTTTCTAAGCCCATGATTCCCTTAGAAAAAAATTCTTTGTCTTGACCCTCCCAAAATGCCTCTACTGCGGCCATCACTTCACTATTGTCCTCAAATTTGTTGCCCCGGAGGTGTTCTTTGAGCCGAGGAAAGAGGTAGAAGTCACTGGGAGCTAGATCTGGCGAATAGGGAGGGTGTTCGAGCAGTTCGAACCCCGTTTCTTCAATGGCAGCCATCGCAACTGCGGCTTTGTGAGCCGGGGCGTTGTCTTGGTGAAACAGCACTCCAGCGCGCAGTTTACCGCGTCTTTTTGACTTAATAGCTTCTCGCAATCTTCTTATTTGGCCTGCGTAGTAAGAGCCTGTTATAGTGGCCCCCTTTTCCAAATATTCCACCATAATAATTCCTTCTGCATCCCAGAAAACAGACGCCATAACCTTTCCCGCTGAACTTGACACTTTGAATTTCTTCGGCGTTGGTGAGGAAGCTCGTTTCCAAGTCATTGATTGTTGTTTGGTTTCGGGATCAAAGTGGTGGATCCAGGTCTCGTCCATGGTCACAAAACGCGACAAAAAAATTCTTTATCGGCCTGGAACTTTTGAAGATTCACCCTCGAAATGTCGACTCGTTTCTTTTTTTGCTCGTCGTTTAACATTCTCGGTACCCAACGCGCAGAGACCTTTTTCATATGCATTTTGTTGACAATGATTTTTTGAACGCTGCCATAGGAGATCCCTGTGACCTCAGCTACATGCCTTACGGTCACCCTTCGATCGGCCAACACGATATCTTCCACTTTTTTGACGTTTTCTCCAGTAAGGGACGTGGAAGGGCGTCCCTCGCGATGTTCATCTTCAGTGGAGGTTCTGCCCAGCTTAAATTCCTTTGCCCAGCGTGCGACTGTGGAATATGGAGGAGCAGACTCCCCCAATGTTTCCTCTAAGTCGCTGTGTATGTCTTTGGTAGACATTTTTTTCAGGCAGAGGTACTTGATGACAGCTCTTATTTCATTTTTCTCCATTTTGATGATTTCTCTTCGACAGTTCGTATTCAAATGAATGTATCTCCCGGTAATGGTGTCCTATTTATACATTTTTTTGAAGCTGAAGTAGTGGATATATAAGCAAGCAGAAAAAAAATAATTTGGGTTTTTGTGCGTTCTAGAAATACTCGATTATCATTACTTATTGATCACCCCTCGTATGTTTACACCAATTTACTATCAATTAAATAATCGTTCACAGAATAATATCCTTTTTCAACTAATATTTATGTATTTGACTTCGTAATAAATTCTCGTAATAAAAGTTCGGTCTCAATTCAGTTCCGATCAACACTAGATCTCGCAACAAAAGGTTATTATCGTAGTAAAGTATTATAAAAACTAGCATAATACTTCACTACGAAAGCCTTCTGGTAATATTTTGAGTAAACAGGCAGGTTAAGTTAATATCTGAAATGGGAATCAAATTGTATCTTAATCTTAATCTTGTATGAAAACGTCCCTACAGCTGTCAATGCATGGATAAATAAAGAGACCTACCATTATTACTGATGGACAGATAATGTCTCTGGATTCCATTGACATCAGTCAACGTGCTCAGTCCGGAGTTCTTACACATCATTGCTTGAGCTTCCATCAAACGGCCGACAGCTAAGTCCACTGAAATATATAAAAAAAAAACAATATCATTTATGCTTTACATTTTTAACCTTAGAACATAATTCATGTCTTATTATCCACTTCTAGTCTATGTCACCACCACCCCTATTGATTCCGTAGGTGTCGTACGAGCCAACTAAGGGAGCGAACTACGCAGGACAACAGCACTGCAAAGAGAAGGATAACTTTGATGACACAAACCCTATACCAACCCGTCTGGCCAGCGTTGGTATAATAGGCCAAAACCTTCTTTCTAAATAGAGACCTATGTCCAGAAGTGGACTTTTAAAGTTTTTGATGATGATATCCACTTCTCGTATGCAATAAATGGACATAGGCATTTCTTTAAATAATTTGAAAACATGAAATTCCAAAATGAACACTATATTTTTTCACTTTTTTATGGGGCCGGATGGCGTGGTGGTTTGTGTAGCGGACTGCTATATCCAAAGGTCGCGGGTTCAATTCCCGCTCAAGTCAAACATTTGTGTGCATGAACATTTAATGTTTGATTTCGGCTGGGTGTTTCTATGTATTATATGTATGTTTTTAAAGAACAAAAATAGTATATATATTCATATCAGTTGTCTAGTTACTATAGTACAAGCTCTGCTTAGTTTGTGGTTCGAAATGTGTGTGTGGTTCGATTGAATGAAATGTGGAGGACAGCGCTATCTAGTATCGACCAAGTACATCTATTAAGATTGTGGTTAATACGAGTAGTTCTGATCCTTACAGCGCTAGAGGGCGCTGCAAGTAACGCGTGACTGATTCTAGAATATTCGTGTTTGTTTAGAACGGACTAATCCCACCCACACGCTCATCACTGTAACTCTTGTACACCAGGATCCACAGCAGTGACCCACGAACACACCTAGGTATGACACTCGGGAAGTCCCAGGAAGAAATTAAACTGTCTTGGAAAACGCAACGAAATTAATCAGAAGAAAATTGGAGGAGTTGGAAATACAGTAAACGGAACGGAATGGGCTGGCAAATACTAGGAACTTTCTAGTAAAATTCAAAAGCGCAATAAAAGCGGAGCGTGTTAGCCGTTCGACACAGTTTCGTTTTACAACACAGCGAATTAACATCGGAGTGAATTTCTAGTGGGACTAACGGGTTATATAGTGATTTCTAGTAGTTGGTGTTTGTAAATACAGTGAAGTGAAATAATTAACTAACAACTTGTATTTATCTTATATATAAAATTCTCGTGTCACAATGTTCGTTCCCGTACTCTTCCGAAACGGCTTGACCGATTCTCATGAAATTTTGTGTGCACATCGTGTAGGTCTGAGAATCGGCCAACATCTATTTTTAATACCCCTAAATGGTAAGGGTGACCCATCCCTAATTTTTTTTCGTTTTGCAATACAACGTTTGCCGGGTCAGCTAGTTATATATACCCCGCTCGTAATATTATTATACTTGGAACTTGCTATGATATACCTCAAAAGTTATTTATTTTGCATGGTAAAACGTAAGTCCCCACGACACAAGATATGTTCACAGGAGTTGTCTTTTATATATATATATATATATTTTATCATTTAAAAAAGTCTTTAACCGAATAAAATGTATTAGTAATTAACCAATCTTTCAGGGCTGGGACAAACCTATCTAAGGGTAGTTCTTTGAATCGTTCTGGGATTTCATTGAAGACTTTAACGCACATCGAGTAAGTATTATTTTTTTGAAATTTTTATCGTGGGAGAGCCATGCTTCGGCACGAATGGGCCGGCTCGACCGGAGTGATACCACGGCCTCATAGACAACCGGTGTTAAGCAATTCTTTCGTTGCCTTTCACTGAGTGAGTGAACTTACCGGAGCCCAATTGCCCCCTCTCGCTGATTCGAGCGGCAGGGGCTCCAAGGGCAGCAACGCACTTGTGACTTATGAGTTGCAGGTGTCCATGGGCGGCGGTAGTTGCTTACCATCAGGTGACCCTGCACCCGACCCGTCTGCTCGTTTGCCCACTTATACCATAAAAAAGACCTAGGTTCAACACAAGTCTATTTGGATTTCTAATGTTGTTCCAATTGGTGAATCCTTCGTTTACTAAATGACTGACTGCACGGATGGCGTAGTGGTTTAAGCGGTCGCCACGCCGCTTCTACTGCGCCGAGTGTTGTGGGTTCAAACCCCTCATGGGACGACACTGTGTGAGCCACAAATTGTCGTTCTGAGTCTGGGTGTTTGTTTCGTGTCCGTTTCATGTATGTTTGTTAAGTCCCCCGCGACACAGAAATGTATTCCTAATGCGGGAGTTGTCTTTTTAAAGAGAGGAGAAAGAAAGAGAAAATGTTTGAGGCGGCACCCTTTTTTTTTTAAATTTACATACCTCGAGGATGTACAAACACGGTAACTTGAGGATATTTAGTTTTTTTTAAATATGGCCGACGAGATACGCCCAGATCGATATCACATATGGACCTAATGCACCGTTTTTGTGCTATAAAAGCCTTATCGACATCCGAACCGTTACCCCATACCAACAACCCATACCTTAACACAGATTCGAGATACGAAAGGTACCCTGTTACCCTTTTTTTTTTGCCGTGCGGAAATCCCCTCGGATACCACCTATCGGTGGCATGTCGGACTCTAACCGACTAAAACCGCACGCCGTCTCGAGTACTAATAGCCGGGGAACCAGGTATACCCTAGAAAGGAAGTCCCTGGTGCCCCGACATACCTCGGGCCCTCTTCAGACGAGTAGACGACCCCCCCGTGTGGGAACCCCATGTTCCCTCTGAGTACCCTGTTACCCTGCTGTAATTTGGTAAGAGACTTTTTTTTAAAATGAATATAGCATGACAGGTGACCGATCGCAAGTTGAATTTGCAAGTTGATCAAAATTGCAAGCGAAATTGCTAAAGTATTCCCGAGGATCCGATAGCACTCTCCAGACAGACCCACGTATATTAAAGAATCTACATAATATGAGCTATTATCTTCCGATATTCAACACTAGATGGCGCAGCAAGTATTGGAATTAGGAATCAATATTACAACGCGTAGTAGTGGTTGTGCATCACTTGATACTAGATGGCGCTGTCCCCAAGAACCCACACGACCCGATTGGACTTTCTACACAATACAAGAACCATTTAATAATGGCGCAACAATAGAAACTATACCTTTTTATGATAAAAGAAGTGCTGTTGAATGAAAATAAACAAAACTATACTTACAGTTAACATCTGGATATGTTTCATACGCCTTCAATATCTTCGCTTGAGCCAGTTGAACCAACTTAGCAGCAACACCAACGCATCCACTGTTATTGTAATATATCTGAAACGATTAAATTGGTATATATCACCTTTTTACTTCTGTGTATATTTCAGGGGGCCTAGTTATCGACCCGACGGGAGGTCTTTTCAAGGAGTGAAGCGACCTGCCGCATTGTCGGGCGTCACCATTTACTTGGTACATTATTGTTAACAGTTTATCTGCCATGTTTTTTTCGGGGTTTATTTTTTGCAAGCACTGAGGCCCTGCCAATAGTTTTCGCCCGTGGTTTCGCCTCGATCGTTTCATTGTATTTGGAAGTTGCCACAATATAAAAAGACCAGGACGCCTACAACTCAGGAATCGCCGCGCCCAGTTGTAACCTTTTAAGTGAACCCCAGGATAAGAGGGAGGGGGGTTTGGACTCTGGTAACCTCACTCACTTGGCTAAAAACACCGAAAGAATTGCTTAACACCGGTGTTCTGTGGGAATGTGACTCCAGAGTGATCGGATTTTAAAAAATCTTTCACCAATGGAAAGCTAAATAATCATCGAGTAACAGATACTTTTTTTTACCGCGATAACATACACACTTGCTGAGCCGCAAACAAAAGCTAGTGTATGTATTTTTTCTTTGGCAGTCTAAAGTTCTGTAGTCTATATAGCTTGATGGATATTAGCTTGGGATTTGTTGTAAGATTCCTCTTAATGCTGAGAATGACACTGGGTATACCAAAATTATAAAAATTCAAATCACCTATTTGTAAATTCAGGTATACATTACAATCATCAATCACTATCAATGGCCTTCAATAGTCCACTGCTGGACATAGACCTCTCCTTAGAAAGGAGGTTTTGGCGGAGGAGGCTGGCTGGTTGGTAAAGGGTTTGTGTCAAGTTTTCCTTCTGTTGTTGATGTTGTTCTGCGTAGTTTTCTCCCTCAATGGGCTCTTACGACACCCACGGGATGAATGGAAATTGTGACACTCCATATTCTTAATCCATCAACACATACATAGATTTCTTCAATAATTAACTTGTGTTATAAAAATACTTACAGCTACATCGGAGAGGAAAACCAGGGCTGTCTCCAGACTACTCTCTTTGATTACTATCTCGCCCCAGTACTCGCTAGCTAGCGTGATTATATCTTGTAAAACATCTTGTGCTGATATGTGGTATGCTAAAACACCTGCGTTTCTTATGTAAGCTTCTCTGGAATAAGAAATATAGTAATAATAACATCACACATCTAACACACAGCAGCAGCCCCGGATCTGGGGGGAGGAGAGGGGGGGGGGGGGGCAAAATCATAATATAATACGGTTCGAAAATATCGTAGTTCCGGAGCTGCACGGCAGTCTAATCCCAAACTAGGCATAGCCTGTACTATGGTAACCAGCCTGCTCATAAACATACTTATATATTTCTAAATACACAGACCAAATGATTGTATACTAATATTATAAAGCTGAAGAGTTTGTTTGTTTGTTTGTTTGTTTGTCATCTCAGGAACTACTGGTCCGATTTGAAAAATGATTTTAGTGTTAGATAGCCCATTTATCGAAGAAGGCTATAGGCTATATATCATCACGCTAAGACCAATAGGAGCGGAGCACCAATGAAGAATGTTTCAAAAACGGAGAAAATTTATTACTATTGATATTGAGAGACGCAGACGAAGTTGCGCGGGTCAGCTAGTCACACAATATTTGTCTTAGGTGGTAACAGAACCCACGACCTCTGGCAGTTAGGATCACTAACGAGTAGACCAAAGGGCCAGTCATAAGTAGTTTTGCTCAAATGGAGGTACTCATTAAAGTGCCGCCAAAATTACTATTAACTAATGATTATCAGTGTTAATTAATTTTCACAGCATTAATATGATATTTATTTGTAACCCAACTTCGAGACATGTAAAATAGTTAAAGTAGAGAAAGTGTAAAACGATAGCTGACCTGTCATGGTACGAAAAGTGTATACAATGACATCTCAATATAAACTGGTTTATGTTATAAAACAAAACAGTTAAAACGTAATTAAGTATGTTCAAAATTCGTCCTTAGTATTCATTAATTTATTTATAACTTCATGCACAAATATATGCAACGGCGGACTTAATGCCTAATCAATTCAATTGAACATCGTGTCCGATAGATGGCGTTGTATTGCATTTCTGTATCGCACTAGCGTTTTCACTTACGTTTGTCCCGTGTACTGAGCCACTTGACAGCAAATGTGTGCTAACTGCAGCCCATGGGCAACTCTACTGAAGAACAGAAGATGCTGAACGAATATTTCAGCTAAGATCAGTGCATGGCGCAGACACGTGGTTTTGGTGACTGGTAAATACAAAAATTTATGTACATTTTAGTAATAATAATAATAACTTGACACATCTCACACACGACAGTCTGATCCCAAACTAGGCAGTCTTTAATGAGAGAGCAGAGATATATGGAAAACAGACTGCTGATAAACATACTTATATATTTCTAAATACATCCATATTATAGATAAATGACACCCAGATACAGAACAAATGATCGTGCTCATCACACAATATTTATCCTGGGTGGGAATCAAACCCACGACCTTTGGTTTAGCTGTCAGGGTCACTAACCACTAGGTCAACAGGCCAGTCATTATATGGGGTCTACCAATAAGAACGTCCTGGTTTAAAAATTGAATAAAACACACAATTTTTTATGAAAAATGCATCCGATTGATTTATTTGATAGTAATTTTATGCAATTTATGTTTTAAATAATGACCGCCAAGTGACCGCCGCGGCTCTTTTTGCAGACGGTCACCCGCTCACGCCAATTTTCGATGGCGCGGTGCACCATTTCGGCCGGTATGTCGGCTATGGCTCGTCGAATGTTGGTTTTTAGGTCACGAATTGTAGCTGGATTACTGCTGTACACTTTAGATTTAACGTAACCCTAAAGAAAATAGTCTAAAGGTGTTAAATCACACAATCTTGGTGGCCAACTGATCGGTCCATTTCTCGAAATTAACGACTCACCAAACTTTCCACGCAATAATTCCATGTTCACTCGAGTAATATGAGGTGGTGCACCGTCTTGTTGAAAATAAAGGTCGTCTGCATCAATATCATCAAATTCCGGAAAGAAATATTAGCCCCAACTCTTGGGAACGGCGTTGAACTGATTGATTTGAATCGCATCAACACTGGCCTGAACGGCTGCGATATTCTCTTCACTACGGGCATTTCTTTGTCTCACAGGCACAGCAGTATCGTGGAGAGTAAATTAACTTTCAAAATTTGTTATTATGCGATTTATAGCGCGCACAGAAGGAGCACTATGACGACCGTTTTTTGCGCGAAGCGCTCTTACTGTAGCGGTAAGAGAACGCGAATTTGCCTAATAATTTTGGACAATTTCCTAGCGTTGGTTTAAACGTGACATAATAAAATGGCAAACCTTACTGAACACAAATGTCAAGAGACGTCAAAGATCCATCATCAAACATGGCCCGCTATAAGCTGTCAAAACCAGGTCATCCCTATTGGTAGACCCAGATCGGTATTATTATCACATAACTACCCGAGTGTGGGTGTGGATGCTGAGTGGTGTTGAATAAAGAGAAAAGAAGGATGGGAGGGTGGAATAGATAATAGATTTGAAGGAACAGCAGAGAGAGAGAGTACAAGGTCGAAAAGAAAAAAGAGATAGAAAGGTCAAAGAGTTATTTATAAAGTGGTAAAGCCATGCTATGGCATATCTGAGAGTGACACCACAGCCTCACAGAGAACTGCTGTTAAGCAGATTTTTTCAGCTTTTCATAGAGTGAGTGAGGTAACTGGAGTCCAGCTCCTCCTCTCCCCAAAAGATTGGGAGGGAACTCGAAGAATTGTGACTCTTGGTGTTCATTGTTGGTGGTAGTCATAAAAAACAGGTGATCTAACTGCTCGGTTGTCATAGAGTGGGTCATAAAAATATATGGAAATTTGAACAGATAGCCAGAGAATAATAGCAGGTAGCTTGAAGAGATAAGAAGAAGTTTGAATTTTAAAGCACAGAAGGGTAATACAAAGAAGGAGGAAGTCTCATCTCTCACCTGTATTAACTTCTGTAACCACTTCAGTCCATATTTCGACAGCTTGCAATGCGCTCTGAATAGCTTCGTGTTCCTGCTTCAAGGTCCGCGTCAGCTGGACCTGTTCAGGATCTGTGCTCTGCAAACATAAGATGCTGGCGTAAGAACGGAAATGGAGAAGCTCACATACGGCCATCTGATCCCGAGCTAGGCAGAGCCTGTATTATGGTATACTATCACACAATATTAATCCTGGGTGAGAATCGAACCCACTCCCTCTTCTGAAGGGAGGGAACACAAAGACGGTACTTCTGTCTCTTAAGTTGGAGGTGTCTATGAGTAGAGTTAGTCACACACTTACCATCAGTTTTTTTTTTCTTTTGTTTTTTTATGTTATAGGGGGCAGACGAGCCGACGGGACACCTGATGGAAAGTGACTCCTGCCGCCCATGAACGTCTGCAAGTCAGGAGTCACAAACGCATTGCCGGCCTTTTAGGCAGGAGTACGCTCTTTTCTTGAAGGTTGTATTAATTTGTTGTACATAAGAAAATATGGGCGGAGTGCCTAGGTATACAGCGAATGTCCTCCTATTTTCTGAAACACGGCGTATAACCCTCAGCAACCTTTTTTTTTTTTTTTTTTTAACGTGTGGAAAACCCCTCGGACCGTCACCCCACCGGGGTTTGCGGCGGGGTGGTGTGTCGGACTCGGACCGACTAAAACCACACGGTGTGCCACTCTGCGCCTGTAATAGGAGGGATCCGGGAACTGCTGTTATTAAGACATCCGGACCCCTCCTAGCGCCAGCCCGCTCCTGGTGCGGGCTCCGTCTCAAAATTTTAACCTCTCTTTAGGCGACGTCCGGCACACGCGGACGCCGCCCCCTCGCGGCTGGCCAAACTAATGCGGGTGGAGGGGAAACCCACCCCGTCCACCCGCGGCCACACTCAGGGCGGCATGAGGCCCTCAGCAACCTAACCTAACCAGCACCAAATTGGTTTTATTTTCTTTGTATATGTTATTATTTAACTTTTATCTTGTAGTAGCTGGTAACCGTGGTTTCGTTCGCTTGGAATTGCAAAAGTGCTGCCATAGTGGTGTAGTATGATACACGACTGCAGTCCATGAAGCCTCGGGTTTTTATAGGATTTTTCTGAGAGGATAAATAGCCTTAGTTACTCCTTACATAGTCAGCTATCTAGTAGTAAAATATTATCAAAATCGGTTCAGCTGTTTTGAAGATTGAAAATATTTAAACTGTGTTTTAAGAGACGATAGATGGATGGTAGACGACTGGATGGCGTAGTGGTTTGTGTAACGGACTGCTATTCCAAAGGTCGCAGGTTCGATTCCCGCTCAAGTCAAACATTTGTGTGCATGAACATTTGATGTTTGATTTGGTCTGGGTGTTTCTATGTATAATATGTATGTATTTACAAAAAAAAAGTATGTATATATGTATTTATATCAGTTGTCTAGTACCCATAGTACAAGCTCTGCTTAGTTTGGATCTAGATGGCGTTGTGGGTATGTGGTAGAAAAAAAAAAAAAGGAATAAATAATATTCTTTCTTTCTTTCTTTTTTCTTTCTATATCTAAAACTGCAGATGAAACTGGGGAGAAATGCTAGTATTGCTAGATAAAAAATTGTAAACTCACAACATCAGTTATTTTCCATCCATACTTCAGGCTAGCGTCAGCTATATCATACTCGGTCTTTAAAAACAGCAGAGTCGTTTGAACCACCCTGATGTCCACTGGTACTGGATCCTGAAAAATAATCTTTTCAGTTACATTTTTTGATTGATGGCATAGGTGGCAACCCAACCTGTTTTAGCTGTAGTTTGCTCCTTTTCCTCCAGAATTACACCTTGGGATTAAGAGAAGAGGGGGAGGGGTTGTTGATCCTTTTTTAACCTGACTCAAAACAACAAAATAATTGTTTAAGAGCGGTTTCACGCCAAAGCATGGATCTCTATCATCAATCATTATCATCAACAGCCTCTAACAGTCCACTGCTGGACATAGGCCTCTCCTTAGTAAGGAGGTTTTGGCCTACTATACCACGCTGGCCAGACGCGTTGGTATAGGGTTTGTGTCAAATTTTCCTTCTCTCTGCAGTGCTGTTGTCCTGCGTAGATTGCTCCACAGAAAGAATATATGGTGACATTCCATATTCTTAATCCGTCACCACACGGGTACGGCACTGCAAAATATTTAAGTTTATAATTGTTTAGATAAATCAACAATTAATTACATTCTACTTACAGGTATTTTATCAATTCTCTCCAATAGTTTTAAGATGATTTCTTTAAATTGATCATTGTTGATGGACCTGACCGCAGACGGTGTCAAAGATATCACTTCCAGCAACGTCCAGAGCACCGTCTCCTCGTCTTCCACTGAAAAGATAATTATTATATACTAGCTGTACCATGCCACGCTTTACTTTGGCACATTGTGATTGCATTGATGAGAAATGAAGAACAAAACTGACACGAGAGATATAAGAGAATGCAGGGAATGCCTATGACATTAGGTCCACTTATGTAAAAAAAAAAGTGCATAAAGTAAAATATATAAAAACAATCTTTGAAGCGGTTTGTTTTTAAATTTTAACTCAATTAGTGCAGAACTTTTTGCACACAAATCTTTTTTATTTTTTTTATGAAAAGACAACTCCCGTATTAGGAATATATCCTGTGTCGCGGGGGACTTTACAAACGTACATGAAATGGACACAAAGAACACCCAGAGTCAGAACAACAATTTGTGGATCACATAAAGTGTCGCCCCATGTGGGGTTTAAACCCACAACACTCGACGTAGTACGCCATCCGTGTAGTCATCACTTTAAAAACTAAAAAGAGTTCTGCACCAATAGGGAATATGCACGTGACACCGAAATGGACAAAATATTTTTATTTGTAATTTTTATTGCTAAAAAAAAGATAACCATACAATTATTTTTGAAATTTATTATAATTTAATAGTGAAATTTAATCATCAAAAATTGGCTTTTTTAAGATTCCCTCGCAAATTTCTAAAACGCAACGCTATTGGTTGAATAAAACGTGACGTCAACCTACACTGTCAAGAGTGTCAACAAGTTGTGTGTATTTGTAATATTTGGTTTCTGTTGATTATTTGTTTCATTTTAAGTTAATAACTAATTAATACGTTTTCAGTGTTAAATTATTAAATTCCCGTGTAGAAAGACTCAACACAAGGACTGAATATACTTTGTCAGGTGCAGTTTTGATATTATTTGGGCACAAAGGAACGGCACAATATTTATAATATGTTTTTATTGGCTTTTCATGGTAATAAGTTAATTTTTATCACTCACTTTTTTAACTTTCAGAAACTTTGTGAACTTCACTCCGTTGTTGACATCGAATTCGTCTGAAAGTGTAATCTGACGTCACAAAAAAAGCGCGCCAAAATGGACGTGTTCAAATTGCCCCAAAATGATAATGCTTTTAATAAAAAAATTTTGCTTAACGGTTTATATTTCGGATGTGTTATATTTATTTTTGGTAATGTAATAACTAGTAGAATCGTTAAAAAAAATCAAAAAAATACATGCATATTCCCTATTGAGATCAAAATTTGTCATGATATAAAACTCGCTTCAATCGCTTGAGCTATATATAACTAGGCACTCCGCCCACATTTCTCATGCACAGTCGACTCCAACCTAATTTGAGAAAAAGGTTCCAAGTAAGGGAGGTAGGATACAAACCACTTCATAGATGGTTTTTATCAAGTTTTTGCAACCACAAAGTGCCACAGGGAAGCGAATCTGTACAAATAAATAAAATTGGAGTGACTGTTTGTAATATTAAAATAACCGCTTTTTACTAAATGCATATGTATGTTTACACGGTACATATGCCAAAATAACATTTTTACAATTTTTGTCTGTCTGTCTGTCTGTTTGTTCGGGTAATCTCTGGAACGGCTGGACCGATTTCGACGGGACCTTCACTGACAGATAGCTGATGGCATAAGGAGTAACTTAGGCTACTTTTTTTAGACTAGCTTCGCCCCGCGGCGTTGCCCGCGGTTATAACAACAAACGCGGGTAACACCGCGGGTCTCAGCTAGTTATACAGAGAGTTTCATTTCCTTTCACAAATACTTAAGCCACATATTCTACCCTTAATTTCTAGGCGATTTGCAAAATATGAACAAAATATATCCAGTAGTTTAGCCACAGGACTCATTTTTGTGTTTCGTAAATTGCAACATCATGTGTACATGCAGTCATAATACATTGACCTCAGGCGGCGATCAGCTGTACACACGTTGCCGCTTTTACTACACCCGAATCGAACGAAATATGTTGATTATTACGTCATCACGATGCAACACGCGTTTTTAATTAGTTCATCCAGTAAGGACAGTCAGTCGGCCCTTGGCCACCGGCGAGCTTATGCTATTCCGTATCCTTGTAGATGCGCTCACGACAAATAACCGTAATAATAATATTGTTGTTGTTTATGAGATACATATTTGTTTAGAGAAGTTTTCTTGTGGTAATAATTGTTTAGTCTTATTGCTTTCGTCATAATACACGGCAATGGTGTGAACAATTAATGTTATCGTGTGCGCAAGACTTCGTAATGTAAGGAGTCCTTCTAATTTTATTTTGAAAAGTCACTATTAGGTTCTGTGTGTAGTGTAGTGTGAAACTGAGTGCATTATCAGTCTTTTAATTTTATTGGGTTATCGATATCAACATCCATAATGCCGTGAGTGACCTTCACAGCCGCGGAATATCCTGCTATGATGTTAATTTATGGAAAACTCTATCAAAACGCATCTTTTGCTTTACGGACACGTATGGAGTCAATCGTGTATGTCCTACAGACTGCCGAATTTTTGTAAGGGCGGTACAAAGATTACGAGACAACCAAGGTAACTACTTTTTCAAGGAGTGACGCGTACTGCTGGGTCGGAAGCTAGTCGAGTATTCACGAAATAAACACGTGAATAAAATCGCATTCTTTATAAATAGATTTTTAAAAGCAAGTGAAGTGATTGGTAGGTAGGTAATAAGAATGTAAAGAAAGGCGGCGGCGGCGGCGGCGGCGGGCGCCGGCGGCGGCGTCGTTTTGATGTCGCCGACATTGCGACGCTGCCGTGTAGGTACAGTTCACCGACTCATGTTATCAATGGTGTTCTAATTCGGAAATTATTTTATTGTATTTAGTTTGTTCTAAATTTGCATTTCTGTATTTTCGTACTAATTTTTTATTTTTTTATTTTAACCGACGTATATTGAACCGTGTTATCTGTTATTTCATTTTTTGTGATATCTATACCGCCACAGTGTATATAGACAGATGTCTACAGTATTAGTTTTGAAAACTTTATATTTTAATTGAGATGGGCTGGTTTCATTTTTAATTGAGCTCTCTTTGTTTCGAAAGGTTTCAAAGGATGAAGGTAAATCGAAGTAAGACTGAACAGACAGACTTGAAGAGCCCCGGGTAGTGCAACATCTGTCCTGTGATTGAAAAGGAAAGACAAAAAAAATGTATTAGGAGTGTGCACATTTATGTTATAGTTGAAATTAAACTAAAATAAAATTGTAGGTAATTAATGTTTGTTTTATTCTTCTCTCACAGTTTTCAACAGTAATTTTACTTTAATAGCACAATACTATTTTTCTCTCTTTTACACACATTCTCTCCAAAGGAAGATAATCAAGAATGAGAACTTAAAAAAAATAGCTTAGGGTTGCCCTTTTTTTTTTTTTTTTTTTTTTTTTTTCTTTTTTTTCCGTGCGGAAATCCCCTCGGATACCACCTGTCGGTGGCATGGCGGACTCGAACCGACTAAAACCGCACGCCTTCGCCGGGTACTAATAGCCGGGGAACCAGGTATACCCTAGAAAGGAAGTCCCTGGTGCCCCGACATACCTCGGGTCATCTACAGACGAGTAGACGACCCCCCCCCGTGTGGGAACCCCATGTTCCCTGTGCTCCCTGGAAGCGAGCGCGCTTCGCAACGCGCTCACCGCCACCCCGGCCTGCTTCTACTAGGGTGACAGATGGCCTCACCTGTCACCCCCAGGCCTGCGCTTATGGAGGACGGAGGTCGTTCTGCGACCTCCGGCGCCTGAGTCGCCTGCGCTGCCTGGCCCGTGCCCGTGCCTGGCGGGCCGGGAGAGTTCTAAACCTCTCCCGGTCCCGCTCCGCCGTCTCCTTCGCGAGCATAACTTGCTCGCAGAAGGAGACGGCAGAGTTCCACGCACTCTCGCTCCGCACGATAGCCGCAATCAGGCTATCGAGCGAGAGAACTCCCACTCCGATGGCCGCCACGAGGTCTCGCCTCTGCTCAACCCACGCCGGGCACTCTGCCAGCGTGTGGAGAGCCGTGTCCACGGTCTGGCACAGTGGTGGCACTCAGGCGTTGGCTCCTTGCGGATCAGACACAAGTGATCTCCGAAACATCCCTTCCCAGTGATCACCTGCGTCAATCGGTATGAGAGGGTCCCGTGACGCCTCTCGAGCCAATCCTCCATAACGGGTCTTACCGCCGCAATGACGGCGTGCCCGAGCTTAGGGTTGCCCTAAACAAAACTTTTATTTTATTGTTTTCTCAATATAGAGTTATACTGTTACAGACAAAGAACGCAAGACAAACTTCACCAATCCGAACAACTTTTTAATTGGGTAAAATAAAGGCAAAAGACATACCAGCCATCCATTTCTCTTGCTGTCCATCTACAAGTTGGTACAAAGACTTCCACACTCCAGCTATAGGCATTATTGAAGGCCATAGTTTGCTGTACATTGAGAATTCATGTCTCAGGAGGCGACTGAAAAATAAATAAATAAATACAAATATTCTTAATATATATATTGCAATACAGGAATATTAGTTTGTTTGTGACGTTAACATCTAGGTGCGTTAATACGTTTAAACAGTTCGACAAGCGAAAATAGCTGTAATTCCATCCTGACCAATCAGGTTCCAAGTCAGTTGCCGTGGGAGAGCCATGCTGCCGTGGCAGAGCCATGCTTGCCGTGGGAGAGCCATGCTTCGGCACGACTGGGCCGGCTTGACCGGAGTGATACCACGGCCTCACAGAAAACCGGTGTTAAGCAATTTTTTTTCGTTGCCTTTCACTGAGTGAGTGTTCCCGGAGCCCAAATCCCCGCAAAGCCGCCCTTAGAGTCCCTCCCTCTTACTCGAGCGGGAGGGACTCCAGGGCGGCATCGCATTAATGTCTCTTGAGTTGCAGGTGCCCATGGGCGGAGGTAGTTGCTTGCCATCAGGTGACCCGTCTGCTCGTTTACCCCTTATTGGTATATGGCTAAAAAAAAGGGTTTCAGATGAAACGATAATTTCTAGGACCTGATTGGTTAGGGGGCGGGCTTGATCATACGTCACCTTTTTCTTACTTCAAATGGGCTATAGTTATGTGTAACTGTACATACCTGAATTTAACATCCTTAAAATAAAGTTCGATATGTCCATAAAATCCTTTTTTTAAAACAGAACTGCACGCATCTACAACACTTAGCAACTGTAGATAATTCTGTTCACCATCATCATCAAACTTATCATCTTTCAATGACTTCGCTTTAATATCCATCACCAAACTCATATGCTTCTCCGAGTTTAAATCTTCAGAAAATATTAGACTTAAATAAGCATCTAATAACGCAATGTCGTACTTTTTATAATCTAATTCACATATACTCTTGTTGTAGAAGGCTCTTGACACATTTTTATATTCAATTTCGGTTTTACTTCCTTCAGTCAATTCATTTCTGATATAAATCTCAAACAGTGTTATAGAAAATTCATATTTTTGGTGACGGTTCAACAATATAGCTGTATTGTGTGTATCCGTTTGTAATTTCAGGTAAAATTTCTTAATGTTGGCACATTTTAATCGCTTTAATTCGTTCATTATGCTATATTGGGTGTCGATTAGTTTGTTATATATCGTCGTTAGTGATGTTATATCAATGTTATACTGCATTGATATTGTTATGAAGTGTTTTAGTAAAAAAGAGAGTCTCAAAGCGTCATGTAATGGTGATTTTACATTACAATTCTCACATTTCAGTAACTGCTGACTATATTTCAGCATGCTTAAAACTTTAAGCATAAAATTCAAACAATTTTCTTGTATGTCTACTGAAAAATTTTCTTTTATTGAATTATTAACTGAGTACTCTACGTATAATCTTAAAAATTGATTCAAATATGCATATGTCGCTAGCATAGTTTTCCTATAACCTAGTTTTTCTGTAATTTCACATGATACGGTAAGATTCTTGAACACAGCATCCGCATATGTCGTTTTATTTTCAAAAAGATCACAAAATGAGTTTAAATAAAATGTTTGTAGGCAATGAAACATATCTGGCTGGTGTCCGAGTAGAGAAATAGCACCCCGAACTGCTATGTTGAGTGAGGAACGTTTAAATTGAGTTTTAGATGCGTTTTCAGCCACAACATACAAGCAATCACACATTTTTATATACAAGTCTAGTGTGGCTTCTTCATTAAGATTTTTTATCGTATTTGTATCATTTTTGCTTGACAATTTCTTAAATATTTCTCCATATAATACATTTAATTGTTCCGAATTGCTTTCATTATATATTGAGTGCAGCTTTTTTACTAAAAATACAAGACCATTAGCACAAAATTGTACCGTATCATATATTTCTATGGTATTTAGAATATCTTCAGTTAATTTTGGTAGCAGTTTTTGTAAAGATTTTCCCTTCAGTTTCTCGATGTACGTGAGACGGTCTGCTAGAATGTTCCAGTATGTCTTGCAGTATTCTTTCAGCAGATTCTTTGCATCTGTCTCAAATGCCATGAAGGATAGTTTTAAAATGAGTTCTGGTGGTGCTTGCGAATTCTAAAAAGAAAAAATTAAAATATGCAACAGAAATTTATTGAAAACTTTTAAAATGCTAGAAATGAATAGGTTGAAAAGCCTGTTGGTCCACTGTCAGTGACCTTTATTTGGAAGGAACTTCCCTCAGAACCACACGACATCTCCGGGTATCAGTAGCGGGAGAACTTACCCAAGGTATCCGACGTACTTCGGGCCATCTACGGCTTAACTTCCAGGAATGAACACCTGTGTGGGAACCCAGATATTTAGTGGTCACTGACACTAACTGCTGAGCCAGAGGTTGTTAAGTTCCATCCACCCAGGATAGGACAGAATCAGAACAGGCCAGGCCTTTCTAAGGAGAGCCCTATGTCCAGCAGTAGACCGTTATAGGCTGTTTTGTGTTATTGACCAGCAACATATCCTCATATGTCTTAAATTATGTACCAAGACAAGGCAAGATATATACTGAACAATAATATTAACAAGCAGCATATTTTTTTTTTTTTTTTTTATTTATTCATATCGTATCGAGTAACAAAACTCATAGTGTTAGTAACAATTTGACTTATAACTATGTTAGTAAATGAAAAATAAAAACACAGCGAAATACAATGACATGAACCGGTACCTAACATGGCACATACATGGGCATTATGCTGCAGGTCCAGCAGAAAGTCTGCAACACCGGTTCACGATCGCGCAATCCATTCGGCTAGCGATCATTTTTAGAATGCTGTTGGTGCTGCCCCGCACCCTGCGTACCAGGGACGCGCATCTCTTACGCATTACTGTATAAAAGCAATCAACGCGGGCTTCTGCAAACATCCCTGAAGCACTACAGAAACGTGGCAACCCCACCAGCACCCTAAACGCGTTGTTATATTGAACTCGAAGGGCGCTGTATGCTTTTAGTGTAAAACGATCCCACAGGCTACACGCGTAGAATGAGGTACAAAATGCACGGAATAATGCGATCTTGACCACACCCGAACAACGTGCAAACCTGCGAGCTATCATGTTAGCACGTACAGACAGCGCCCTTCGCTCCCGTTCGATGTCATTATCATCCTTGAGGTCGGCAGTCAGATTGTGCCCTAGATATTTAAATTGGTTTACTCTCTGTAGAGGAACTTCGTTCAGTTTAATGGTAGGCATCTCAATAGGTACACCACTGCTGCCGGCCTCGAAGACCATAATGTTACTCTTTTTTGCATTGTACACAAGTCCATGCTGTAATGCATACCTTTCACAAATGCTCAACAGCTTGTTGAGGCCACAGGGCGACGCACTCAGCAGCACCATGTCATCCGCATAGCTAATATTATTTAAGCACACTCCATCTATGTGGCAGCCTATCCTGGTGCCGCTAAGCTCCTCAATCAGCTCATTCATGTACAGGTTGAAGAGCGTGGGCGATGTCAACCCTCCTTGTCTCACCCCGCACTCCAACCCATACGCATCAGATCTGACCCCTGCCCACCTGACACTATTGACCTGGCTTCCATACCAGAACTTGATGATATTGAGTAGTTCTCTTGGTAATTTAGCATTATCCAGCTTTTTCCATAGAATGTCGTATGAAACCAGGTCAAAAGCTCTCGAGAGGTCGAGAAATCCAGCGTATACGGGCGTTTTCCGATCCGTATAATACTTGACAGTCTGCTTAAGAGACAAAATAGCGCTCTCCGTAGACAATCCGGGCCTAAACCCGAATTGGTTGTCATGTGGTTGTATATATTCATTTAGCTGTGTGTTAAGCAGACCGTCAAACACCTTCGATATAATTGTCGCCAACGATATAGGCCTATAGTTATTTTTGTCGCATAAATCGCCAGTTTTATTTTTAACTACAGGTACAACCAGCGTTCCCAACATCCCGACAGGTAGGTATGCATGACTCATGCACAACGCAAACAACAAGGACAGTGTCCTGGGTAGATGGGAACCCGCGTACCGCAGGTGCTCAATACTGAGGCCATCATGGCCGGGTGACTTCCCCCTAGACATCGATGATATTATTTTTTCAATATCCTTAGCACTGAACTTTATTTCCAGTTCCATTCCAGCCTCAGCATGGAGCCCACACGATGACGGTCCCAACGGCGATTTTACACTAAAGTGATTCATAAAGATATTCGCAATATCTTTTGAATCACTTACTCCTTCGATGCACACAGGGAGCCCCGGCCTTCCATTCAAATTATTTGTGGCTTTCCAAAATGATTTAAAATCTTTTTTTGAGTAATGCGAAGCCAGGATGTCCATTTTAATCTGGTTTTCATTTTTTTGACACCATTTCAATCGGGATTTAAATATTCTTCTGGAATCACACATTCCCTCATATATTTTACCGGCAGTTGGCTTACCATACGACACCCACGTTAAAAATTTGTGTTTGGCCTCCCTGTATGCCTCGCTTACATGTTTATTCCAACCGATTACAGTACGCTTTTGTCTACACTTTTTGTTTTCTCGGCCGATAGCCGCTGATTCGCTCAAAGCTACAACAATGTCATGATACATTTTATCAATAATAGGCCTGTGCTCTAATATGCTACAACCTTTACCAGCACACTGTAGCAGCTCCCGCGGCAAATCGACTAGCTTTAACTTGTCGTGACAAACCCTCCCGTATTCATTGATCTGTTCGGGGCTTCTTTCACCCCACACTACTTTATTTTGTGAATAAACACAATCACTTGTTTTTTGTAGGATAATGTCCAAATTACACTCAACAAATACAGGAAAGTGGTCCGACCATAAAACATCATAATGCACATACACCCCCACTACTGAGCACAGTGCTGCTCTGGTCACAACACAATGATCTAGCCAGCGTTTAGAGCCGTGCGCCTCGCTTATAAATGTGTATGTATTTGACACAACACCTAACCAGTCCGTATCAATACACGTCCATTGTTGCTCGTCACAAAAATGGCTGAGTTCATTATAAAATCCTTCCGTAGGATGCGCATTAAAGTCCCCCAGTATGTATACGCTTTCGATCCTACTGCTCTCTATAATGGCACTCACCGTACTTATAGTGTCCGTGAACTCGGGCAAGTTTTTAGGCATGTCCGTCGGCATGTAAACACTTATCACTAAGATTGACTTTTTGTCCAGCACTATTTGAATTCCACATATACGCGAATTATCACACTTTATGACCGACACGTTTCGAAAAACACTACGCCGCCACAAAATGGCAACCCCTCCGTATGGCCTTCCCTGCAGCATACCTGAGGCAGTATCAACAGCCGACACGCCCGTACACTCGAAGTCACTGTCCACTTCATTCAGGTATGACAACTCCTCCGGCAGTAGCCACGTCTCCTGAAGAGCTATTAAGTCAGCATTCCGACATAAACGTCGAATATCAGCAAGAGAACGCTTGATATTCTTACAGTTAAATGATACAAACTTATAAGATTTATTACTAAGCATTTGTATTTTATTTAACGCCTATAACAGAATTATGCGGTCTGTTAACATTCTTTGGCTTAAAATGCACAAATCGTCTGAAAATTATTCCCTGCGGCCATAATTCATTATTTAGAAACATTCCAACTTTTCTTTCCGACACAAAAAACTTATATGCATTATATTCACTCTCTCTTCTATTTGAGATCTTTTCTAATTGTACATTTTCACTCGTTTTGTTAAAGATATAACTACTTATATCGTTTTCCAATGTCTCCTTGTGCACATTAGTAATAAACATCGGAATTTTCCGGTCGGCTGACTTAAAATTTCCCTGTTCCGTTGACGTACCAATTTTACCTACTAACCGGTTTTTAGGTTTTGACTTGTATTGTACAAGTTTCCATTCGTTGCCTGTTATATTTTCATTTTGCTCCTGTAAAGTCAATGTCGCAATGGCCGCCGCTTGTTTATGTTTATTGACCGATACGCACAGCTGTTCACTTGTTTCCTTATCAGTAGATCGCAATGATGTCAGATTTAACGGTGCATCGGACGAGCCCACAGATCTAGACGACATATTTTTACTTTTATCTGATTCTGCAACTACCCCCGCAAAAGAAATATTAAAATGATTCAGCTGTTCTTCGGTTTGAAAGGATTCCCCAAAGCCCGTGCGACTGGATTTATGATCTTCGATATTTTGCATGAGGTGACTATCCGATAAATCGATAGGATCACTATCAATAGTCCGCCCACTCTTTATATTGAGCCTACTACTGGAGAAAACTGAAGGGGAGAATTTTGTATCCTGGAACTCTTTCCTGAAATTCTCTAAATGCTCCAGAGTAGCGTAAGTATCCTTCATATTCTTGATCTCTGCCTGAACAAGCATCAAATCCTTTAGCAATTTCGACACGTCAAGGTGATCGAAGGTAATAGGTGGTAACATTTCCAGGTTACGAGCCACAAAAACAGGCATCACATCTTGGTCTGTGACTTTAAAGAGATGGATGATGTCATTTAAAATGCGATTTTCTTTTCCCTGTCCTTTACGAACTGTTTTTCGATTATCGGAGGGTAGCGATTCAAACAGTAACGAGTACGATTTTTGTATCTGCTCACTCGTAAACGTTGCAACACATATTCTCACTAAACTATCCTCATCTATAATAGATATTTTATTTTGCACATATGCTAACATTTCGTCAATCACCATATTACAGTTAACACATTTCAATATAGACGTCATTTTTGCGACACAATCACCGCTGTCCTTTTAAACACGTTACACTCGGGTGCGCGCGCGACGACGACTGGCATAGCATAGCGTAACGCTCTAACATAAAGGCATTTAGTATTTTAAGTATGGAGATGTATATGATGGAAACAAATATAGAGTTTGCATATGATGCATAATCCGATTTATTCCGATTCCGATTTTTTGTTACAATTATTCTTTAAGTGTGAAGTGACAAGCTTACCTTTCTAACCACATGTTTATGGACATGATAGATGCAAGCCAATGTCTTGACTTGGTCAGCCTTATTCAACCCCCGTGTCTCTCGGATACAATCTATGCTTAACGTTAACAAATCTTTGGGATTCACTGCGTCTTTCCATGACGGTACTCTGTCTAGGTTCCTGTAAAACAAACATTAAACATCAATAATGCACATAAAAGATGACACATGATACATAAAAGCACATGAAATACACCACACCACCACAAAAGCGTAATAAAAATTGTTTTAAATATTTTAAAGACATCATTTTTAACCAGAGGGACAAAAGAGTGTAATCCTCTAAAAGGCCAGCAAACTGTTTGTGACTCCTGAGTTACAGACGTTCATGGGCGGGAAATTGTCACTTTCCATAAGGTGACCTGTCTGCTCGTCAGCCCTAGAGGGGGCATGACATATAAAGAAAAAAAAAACAAAAAAGCAGACATGTCACTTCTTATAAGTAACTCAATTTTATACACAATATTTGACCTAGGTATTATTACACACATTAGTACTTTAGTCCTAGAACCCTAAATGGGGTCCTAAGGCGAAACTTTGGTTGATGTGGTTGATGTGTTCATTTTATGGGCTAGTAAATGCTGTCAAAATTTACTTATGGGTTTGCTTCAAGTGTTCAAAAGAAAATAACCAGCAAAACATAGTTACAGTGTATATTTTTGACAAAAATAGGTTTAGACCTCATTCTTAATCATTTAGAGTTCCGTTACTTGTTACAAACTTTGAGACATTAAAGAATAATTTGGATGATCCTGAAAAAACGCAAGATCCTGGAAGCACTTTTAGATACAAGGACAGTATGGCTTTTGTCCGAGGTAAAGGGGCAGAAAAACTAGGACAACGTGCCAAAGGTGTAAAATATCTATTAGCTTAGAGCACCAAATAAAAATTTGTAGTGTTCAAACTGAAACTTATTTAATGAATACAATTTATGAAAAAAAATTCATAAATTGTTATTTTATTTTAAGTATCCCACATTTTAGCATGGGGTACTCCAGCACCCCAGAGTAGGAAAATCATGTGCGATTAACCGTGTAGGGTTCTAGGGTTAATACACTTAATTGTTAGGATTAAAACAAGTGACAAAATAATAGGTGCATATCCCTGTAGATAGTACCCCTGTAGGCAGACCTTTCTAAGGAGAGGCCTATGTCCAGCAGTGGACTATTAAAGGCTGTTGATGATGATGAGGCAGACATCAGTTTTGTTCTTACAATTAGTGTTGAATATACAGTGTTAGCTCATATTAAATATACAGGGGTACTATCTACTCTTTTTAATCCTTAAAATATATTTTTGAGGAATAATACGTGTACCTGCATAGTAAACACAACACGTTCAAAGAAAATGAGCCTTTGTCTTTGGCTGATAATTTCACTAAAACATTCTTATATTCCAGGTAAACGTTTGCAAGGTCATCCCAATCTTTACTGGTACCGTTGGCTTTGATTTTCACTAGAAATTCGTTGGCATCCATTTTTAAAGTCTTATTTTAACACATTACACAGGTTTTGCTCTATTTTAAAAACTTTACGTTTAAGTATATCCTACAAAGTATACGTTTGTTGAAACATGACCGTTATATTTTAAAAGAGTCAACTGTCAAGTTATGAAATGTTTTGGTTGACTGACTTGTTCTCATTTTTTTATTATAAAACGTCACAACTGTTTTTCGACCAATCTATGCAAAGGTTTTTACTTTGGATTTCCTAAGATGAAGAAATAAAGAAATATCGTGAATGAATGCCTCAATTTAGTAAAACAGAACATACTTGTAAATGCAACGTTCCATTCCCATAAACACACATTAATTTGCGTGATTTTTTAAAGTATATAGCATTTTTAAGAACTTTTAATTTAATTAAATATTAAGAGAAAATTAAAAAAAAAGACGACGAAGAAAGAATATTTTAAATATATTTTTTCTTTTTGAAAAATTAATTGACTGCCGAAACAGAATTTCTGCATGAAACATTTTTTTTTCGTTTAATTTGTACTAAAAAATATTAAATAAATATTAGGGCATGACAGATTGGTTTATTAATATTTCTATTCTATTGAATTCTATTCTATTCTATTCTATTGAATTGTTTTCGTCTTTTATTTGTAGTCTCAAAACTAAAAAGGCTTAAACTTTATTTCATTTTAAAAAATGCGTTTTGATCACAAACGTGTTACTTTGCCGAAACGTCGCGGCATTCCTGTCTCATTATCGTTATCATGTTGTTGGTTGGTTAGTTCAAAACGAAAAAATGCCGGTTCCATAAATAATACTGAAGATACACAAATAAAAAGCAATTTACAGTGCAGTGGCGCTTCATAATCTTTTTCAAGTAACCTTGAGATAATAGCTTATCAATTTTTAATTCGGTAAGTTGTACAGTAAATATTCAGTCGTTTTTCAACAGTTTTATTGCTTTAAATTATCAGTATACAATGTTAGTGTCCCACTGTTAAATCATTAAGTTTACTAATGTTATGTATGTGTAGGTAGGCATTGTAATTATTATGTATAAATTCTTATTTCAAGCTATTTATCGCGTGTAATAAAAAAAGACGTTCTACCCAATATAATAAATTTATAAGTGCTTGGCACATATATAAGCACATATCTTCATCCTGATATCACGTGGAGATGAACACAGTAAAGAAATTATTATGTCACTAGTTTCTACATGAATAGAAGCAATGCAATGTATATAAATAAATAAATAAACTAAAAGAATAATTAATGAAGCTCACAGTATTATGTGAATGTTCTGTCTCGTTCTTTTATCATTGCTTTCAATATTCTATAGAAGTTTTATAGATATTTTTAATAACATTAAAAGTAAACAAAAAAATAGACAATATACTAATAAAAAAAAAGTTTTGATATATTTAATTATTTTAGTTCATTAGGTATATATGAAATTAAAGACAGTTTTAAAATTTATTTTATGAATTTTAAGTTCTTATAAATAGAAACTTAAAATACACATAAAATTAACAACATTGTCATGAAGAGCTTTTATGTCCATTTAGTGCAAATAAAACTATCTTTTTATTTGATTCCCGCTCAAATCAAACATTTGTGTGTATGAAAATTCAATGTTTGATTTGATCTGGATGTTTCTATTTATAATATGTATGTATTTACAAAAAAAAGTAAATTCGTATTTATATCAGTTGTCTAGTACCCATAGTTCAAGCTCTGCTTAGTTTGGCACTAGATGGCGTTGTGTGAATGTGGTACAATATAATTATTACTGAAAATATGTTTTTCAATTACAGGAATAAAACAAAATGGGTGCCACATTCATCACAGCAAAATACTATATCACCCTTCTAATAACTGTTGCGTTATACTTCGTATCCTCAAAGTTTATCTTTGACAATGTTTATAACACCATCCAAATCGTGATCGATGAGTTATTTCACATACCACAAGGGAAACTGTACTGTGAAGGGAACTTCTCACATTGGGATCCGAAGATAACAACACTACCTGGGTTATATCTGGTATCAAGTATAGTCGGTTTTTATTATGAATGCAATACTTACAATCTACGTTTTGTCAATCTCGTAGCGTCATGTGTGAATTTCCTGATTTTTGCGAGTATATTGAAATATATATTTTATTATAGCAACAGAAGTAAGCTTCAAATTAGTATTCAAGCATTAAGTCTAACAATATTGCCGCCGTTATATTTCTTCTCGCATGTTTACTACACTGATACGCTATCTTTAACATTTCTGTTATTATTTTCTAGGTTGTGTTTTACGAATAGATATAAAATGTTAATTCTAATATTTGGGATGTGCTCAATTTTGATGCGTCAAACTAATGTAGTGTGGGTTGCAATGGTGTTTGGTCACAAATTTCTAGATGTACTTATAAAAAGTTCCAGAGTGTTCGGTAATCATCAGTTAATGAACGTTAAGCTTAGCAAACGTTCTCCTATTGCTAAAAATGTTGACTTATCAAAAGTGAAAAGGTATTATGATCTGATAGATGTATATTATGCTGTAATATATCATGTGCGTACCTGCTTCACAACTTTTTTCTGGTACTTAAACATTCATGATGTCATAATATTAGCCACACATCTGGTGATTTTAATTACTTTTTCAATATTTGTTTATTTTAATGGGTCTATAGTTGTTGGAGATAAAACTGCACATGAGGCTACACTCCATACACCACAGTTGTTATACTTCTTAATATTCTATGGTGTTTTCGGTCTTCCTTATGTTATTTCAAACTTGTTATCAACTTTAGAATTGATTTATGAAAAAATATCCCTTGCTTCAATAATTGCAGTTATTTTTACTATAATGGTACACTTCAATACCCAAGTTCATCCATATTTGTTGGCTGATAACAGACATTTTATGTTCTATATATGGAACCGTTGGTATGGAAAGTATGATTTTGCTATATACGCTACAATTCCAGCTTACGTCTTCCTATTATTCAGCTTATATGATAATCTTAGAGAGAATAATTGTATATCATTTCTTTTGCCATACTCAGTGGCAGCTACTTTAGTTCTAGCTTTGCAAAAATTAATAGAAATTAGGTATTTCTTGTTGCCATATATAATTTTAAGGCTCCGTTTTGGGAAGCCGGGTGCTTCAATAATAATATCTGAATTTGTATGGTATGTTGTCATCAATAGTGCTGCGTTTTATGTTTTCTTTAACAAAGAAGTGTATTGGAAAGACTTTGATTATGTTCAGAGAATAATCTGGTGATCACAAGGAGTCAGTAGACTATAAAATATATAGTTAGTGTTGTGAAAAGACTTAATGTGTGGCCATTATTCGGCATTCTCAGAACATAAGTTTTTTCATTTTAATCTAAATCTTTTTAAAAACGTCACAAAGATACAAGTTATATTATGCATAGATTTAGGCTGGATACAATGGATCAGTGTGTTTATGGTCTAAACTTTTTTTCTAAACTAGTCACCATCATCATCTCAGCCAAAAGAGGTCTACTGCCGGAAATAAGCCTCCACAAAGGGGTAGGTGTAATGACCTTTCTCCTTCTTCCATTCTTCCTAATTACTCGACATCCTCTTTTTCTTTTATAGCTAGCCGACGCCTGCCTGACGCCAACCTTTGGGTATCTAATCGTTGGTATTAAACCCATAGGTATTTTTGACAAGTCCAAACACCCACAGTTTTTTTTATATTTTCTAACCAAACAGCTTCATAACCCTTTACCTGCAGGGCGACCATTATCACATTAATATTGCTGTTCTCTACAGTAAGGGTTATACCAGACATTTGAAATGTTCAAAATTCTTCCTATTACTAACTTAATATTGATTTATCTGTTGCACTTATTAATAATTAGTATGTATTATCTGTTATTATCATTCTTAATGAGGACATGTGTTTATAAGTTTACTTTAGCTATAATAAATATTTAATTATCGCCAGAGAATATTCTTTTGAGATGTAGGTAATAAAAAACTTGAATGTATACTCTATACAAATAAATAAAATTGAAGTGTCTGTTTGTAATGTCAAAATAATAGGTTTTTTTCATGCTTTGGTTGTGTACCAGTTTTAATATTTTTTGTCAGTCTGTCTTTCTGTCTGTCTGTTTGTTGCGGGTAATCTTCTAAACGGACCGATTTCGATAATATTTTACTACCAAGTAGCTGTCTATATAAGGAGTACCTTAGGCTATTTTTTCTCAGAAAAACCCTACAAAATTTTGCCTGATCTGGGAATCGAACTCACTAAGGCAGCGCTTTTCAAATTCCACGCGAACGAACTCAGCCAGGCACCAGCTAGTCACAAAAATAATTCATGATTAAATTAATAATTTTCTTAATTGACTGTATTACCATAGTTATTCATTGACCGGTACATCCAGCAATTTTGGGCCTTAGTTCTTCATTATACCATTGAATACTTTAGCTTGTAAGATATTAGATTATAAGATTTTTTTGTAGATTTAGGTGAAATGTCTAAGAGACTTAGTTTTTAAAAAATATGTTAAAAGACTTGGTCTTCGTTAATGTGGTAGGTATATGTATGCTGGCAGCACAAAAAGTCCAACTATCCTCATTTCGGTAACCTTTTAACTCCTTAGACTTAGTCAAAAGGTGTGAAGGAATTCAAATAAATTATGAATTTATATGGGTGTTTCACGACAAGAATAGCTCTCGAATTCGTGGCACATAGTGTGGTCGAATGAACATACTGTGGTCCATCAAGAAACATAATACTGTGACCACATCAACTTTAATAGTCCACTGCTGGACAAAGGCCTCTCCTTAGAAAGGAGGTGTTGGCCTACTATACCACGCTGGCCAGACAGGTTGGTATAGGGTTTGTGTCAAGTTTTCCTTCTGTTCGCAGTGCTCTTACGACACCCACGGGATTAATAGGGGTGGTGGCACTCCGTATTCTTAATCCGGTACCACACGGTTGTGACCAATGAAAAAATAAACTTTGCAATCCATTGTATTTTTCACA